TTAACAATTTTAATATTTTGATATACAAATGGAAAAATGATTTAGAAATTATTATTTTCATTATTTTTTAATACAACTTTACATATCATTTAAATAAATAATTCTCTTTATTTATTATTATTTATTTAAAACTCATAATATTAAGTATATCATCTACTTTACTGATATATAAAAAATTATATGAAAAGATTATTACTATACCAATATCATATTTAAATACAATAATTTTTGCCATCATAATCCAATATTATAAAATTGAAGCTGCTTCTCCCTCATTCTTATCATTTTGCGGCAAAAACCTATTTTTAGTCTTTTACCTTAATAAATTTGTAGATTTTAATCCCTCACCTTATACTATAATACTTTTAGTCCTTTATCTTAATAAATTTGTAGGTTTTAACCTATCACCTTATACTGTGATACTTTTAATCCTTCACTTATACGAGTTGAAGAAAATAACCTTTACTTAAAATTAATTTATAATATTATGTTAATTCTATTAGTTAACTGTTAATATATATTAGTATTTCGTTATAGAAAATATGAAATTTAAATTTAATTTTATTTATTAATTCTGTTAACAGAATACTAACAGAATTCTAACAATCAGTTAACAGTTAACTAATAAAATTAACTGAATGTTATAATATGACTTTAAATAAGAGTTATTTTTTTTCAACTCATGTAAGTGAAGAATTAAAAGTGTTATAATATAAGATGAGTGATTAAAACTTATAAATTTATTAAGATAAAGAGTTAAAACTATTATAATATAAGATAAAAAATTAAAACTTATAAATTTATTAAAGTAAAAAATTAAAAATAGATTTTAACCTCATTTTGACGGCAGAGGCATTTAAAGAACTTTATTATCAAATTAAAAATGAAAATCTTATATCAAATGGTCACCACCATTTCAGTAGCTGTACATCAGACCGTCCAAGGCAAGTTATAGAGTGACCTGATTACCGTCCGATCGTCGTGGGACCATGTAGTAAGGACAATGTAAGTCGTCTGTCCGGGTTGAAAAACCTGGGCTTGAAATAGCCGACTTAGTTGCGGACTACCTTGCCATGAGTACGAGTGGGCCAAGTTCAACCCTCGGCCCAATTTACTCATTGCACCAGGCTTTTTTTAACTCCACGTGTGAGGAAGAGGAATGGACTTCTTGCCCAAAACCAGGCCTTAATTAGGGGTTTGATTTTGGAACAGAAAAAGCGACGTGCAATTTGTGATATACACACTAGATAGATACCATATTCATGAAATACGATTCACTTTCAAGATGCCTTGGTGGTGAAATGGTAGACACGATATTACATTAGGTTTGAGATTAGTGTATATCAATTTTAATTTTTAAAAATAATTAAAATTTTAATTTATATCTAAAAATTAAAATTTTATTTTATTAAATATTGATATTTAGATTTAAAAATTTATTATATATTTTAATATAATAAATTTTTAAATTTAAATATTAATATTTAATAAAATAATTTTTAAAATTTTAAATTAAATTTTAATTAAATAAAATGACGTAAATCAACGTTAAAATTTTAATTATTTTTTAGAGTTAAGATTGGCATGTATCTTTTTATATTATATATTTTATACATATTAGTATAAAAATAAAATTTTTATTAATAAAATGAACCTTCCCTCCATTAATAATTATAAAACGAGCAGTTTGGTCAATTGCCATCTTTTTTTGGGGAAATAAACGTGGAATAAATTAAGATTAGGTACCTAACGTTGCGCTTGGTTTGACAGATAATAACAATTTATGACTATGTTTTTTAAATAGGTGGTTAGGGTATATAAAAAATATTTTTAGGTAGATTAATTAATTATTTTTAATTTTTAACTGAGAGATTTTGGAGTTTTGGAAAACCCACTAGGTGACTACCCACACCAGAGGGAGGGTAAATGGGTGTGAATTTAGTGGACAACAAAATCTAACCCTTTTTCATTTTATTTTGGAGATGGTTTGAATAGTCACTGAAATTCATATTTTGGGTTTTTTTTTTTTTTTATAATAAGATAATTAGTTGAAACTTTCATGAGAAAGGGTGGAGGAAGAGGACTAAGGTTTATCAAAAAAGAACACCTGGAGAGATTAGTGTGTCATAATTTGGTCCAGAGGACCAGCATCGGAATCCAAATAACAGGAAATTTTATTCCGGTATCATCGAGGGATAGGGACCATTCTTTTTTTTCTTTTCTTTTTTTAACTCGTCTAAACTTTTATATTAAAACAAAACCATACGATATTTACATAAAAAAATTTTGATTTTAGTGATAACACTGATGATAGAGCAAATAAAACGAGATAACAATAAAAGTAGATAGGGACCATTCCTACTTTTTAAGTTGAAGCATGTGCCTCTTTGTTCATTTCAAGAGTCAAAGAGAGGAAAGTTATGGCATTATTACATCCATATGATAATGTCTTAGAAATTGAGAAAAAAGTTTCCTTTGTCTTCTAGTGTTCTAGCTGGAAAATTCTTTTATATAATACTAAGGATACCATCTAAACAATATTTTTTATGACTATTATATATGGTGACATGTTGTAAAAATGGTTTTTATTTGTAATTAAAAAATGATTTGGGTTTTTTTTAAAAAAGAATTTAATTAGTATATTTTTAATATAACTAATATTAAAAAAATATAAAAG